GGCGAGGGGGAGCAGCAGCATGGGCAAAGGATGCCAAGGGGGATCCACTTGCTCCCCAGCACCCCAGTTTTGAGTTGGGGCTCTCAGCATCCTCTCTCTTTCGGGTACCATTCTTCCCTCCCTTGTCATCTGATCTGGAAACAGTGGACGCAGAAATGGCTGGGCTGGTAGATTGGATGTTTTAGGGACAAAAAATAATCTGTTGTTGCAAATGCGCTGAGTACAGATTGTGCCTTGCCCGCTTATCTCTGGTTTGGTTGTTGGGAGACTTGATTAACCACAGAAGCCATCAGGAGAGAAAATTTCCATCGTGTTTTTTTTTTTTTTTTTTTTTTTTTCTCCTGTGCTCCAGTTAATGATGGGAATTGCATCGCATTTCCAACACGGGCGGTAGTGAAATATCTGGCGATCACTGCCTTCCCCAGGCGCCTGCCGCAGCAGTCAGGCGAACGCTGGCCTTTCCAGAGGGCTCTGCCTCCTTCTTCCCAGAGAAAAAGCCGGCAGAGAGGGAGGGTGCTTCTCCCCTGGGACCCCCGCAGCCCCTGGGGCTGCACCAGTGCCCACCAGTGCATCCCAGCTGCTGCAGTGCTGCTCCCTCCCATCCACCCCAGCTAAGACACCCCGTTGAAACAAGTAAATATAAATATATATATATATATATATGCATGTGAAATTCAGAACAAAATTGAGACTGCAGCCCAGCTAAGATGGGATCCTCTATAGTATGAAATTGCAGCAGGTTTTTCCTTAGAGCTGCTGGCTCTGTTGCTGAGGTGTTTTCACTGCCTGGTCCCGCTGTGGTTTGAAAAATGCCTGAGTGAGCCCCAGCCTGATCCAAACATGTTAAGCAGAAGGAAACAGCTCCGTGCAGTTCCGTTTGGCATTCCCTTTTTATTGCTATTCTATTCTATCATTATATATTATATTATATTATATTATATTATATTATATTATATTTATATTAATTATATTATATTATATTATATTATATTATATTATATTATATTATATTATATTATATTATATTATATTATATTATATTATATTATATTATAATGTTATGTTATGTTATGTTATATCATATCATATATTATATTATATTATGTCATATCATATTATATATTATATTATAATTCTGTTCAGTTTGGGTATGTGAGTCTGGCATCCCTTTTAAAATTCTATTCTATTCTATTCTATTCTATTCTATTCTATTCTATTCTATTCTATTCTATTCTATTCTATTCTATTCTATTCCATTCCATTCCATTCCATTCCATTCCATTCCATTCCATCCGTTCCATTCTTCTTTTCAGTTTGGGTATGATAGTCTGGCATCTCCTTTTAATTTTATTTATATCATATCATATCATATCATATCATATCATATCATATCATATCATACCATATCATATCATATCATATCATATCATATCATATATGATATATATTATATAATATCATATATTATATTATATTTGGTTGTTTATATATAATATAATATAATATAATATAATATAATATAATATAATATAATATAATATAATATAATATAATATAATATAATATAATATAATATAAATTATAATTAATTAATTATGCTTCCTTTTCTCCTTTTCTCCTTCCTCTTCTTATTCCTCCTCTTCTTCCTCTTCTTCCTTTTCTCTTTCTTCTTCTTCCAGAATTGGCTTTTTGAACGCTTTTGACATATTTTCCTCCCCTTTGCCACCCCTCCCCAGCCCCTTTGGAGGCTCCCCTGGCCGGTGGCAGCGGGTGCTGGCTGGGTCCTGCCCTCGGCCACTGCCCCGCTCTCACCCGGGGAGCTGCTGGTGTTTCCCGTACCGGGGGGGCCCCTCTGAGCCCCTCACAGACAGTGCTGGGGAGACTGCAGAGCCAGGGTGGCTGCAGCTTTGGGTCCCTTCCTGGCAGCACAGCACAAAACTGACCTGAAAGCTAAAATTCCAGTAATTTCTATAAAATGCCTCCAACCTGCTTCTTCCCGCCCTCAAAGAGAGGGTTTGAAGGTAAACAAATGGGCTGTTCCTGAGAGGGAGGAAAAGGGACGTGTGTGGTCATCCCAACACGGGGGCAAGCCTGGAAATGAAAATGTCTGATTAAAAAAAAAGGCAAAAATCAGTAAATTTCAAACTTTTTTATCCATATCCCGACTTGGAGCGAGATGACCACTGCAAGCACGGCTGGTTTAATTTAATGGATAAAGTCATTTGGCTTGTGTTGTCCGTGGAGTTGATATGGACTGGGACGGGCACTTCAACTGGGAATAAAGTTAAATATCCGAAGCCAAGGAGGTGATGCATGAGAGGAAACTTTGCTCGGGGGGAGCGGGACAGGCAGCATTGTCCTGCTCCGTCCCTCCCAAACAACTGCTGAGCTTGTTGGCCAGGCTTGGCCACTCTTGACTGCCTCCAGGTACCTTTTGAATATATATAAAAAGGATATTAAAAATGATATATAATTATATAAAATGATATATATATAATTTGTAGATATATACACACATATAATATGTATATAAAGTGTTTTATACACATATAATATGTGTATAAAATATAATATGTATAAAAATATAATATGTGTAAAATATAATATGTGTAAAAAATATAATATGTGTATATAAAGTGTTTTATACACATATAATATGTATATAAAACGTTTTATATACATATACCAAGCTCTGTAAAGCTTCTCAAGCACAGCAGCCAGCAAAGGCTCTTCTCCTACGGAGAGGCTTCAGCACCGGGGGGTCAGTGCGTGCTGCCTGCACCCCCTTTCCTCTGCTGCTCCCTGGGGCTGGCCTAAACCCCAAAATAACTGAACGTGCTAGAGAGGAGCAGGGCTCATCCCCTGCGTGTGGGGTTAGTGCTTCTATAGGGGCTCTGGCTTCTATAGGGGCTCTGGCCACTGCGAAATGGAGATCCAGGGGTGCGCACGGGGCTTCTACCCGGCAACCTGGGCATGAGCGTGGCCATCACCGTGGCCCCTGGGTGGGGGGGGAGTCTGGGTTCTCCCCTCCCCTGCACCTCGATGCTGCTCCCCAAACTGCATGCTTGGCATTTTAATAACTGGAGCAGTGCTGGGCGAGGGGAGCTGGGGGGAGAGAGGAGCTGGGGGAGAGGGGAGCTGGGGGAGGAAAGGGGGAGGCACACTGAGGTGTGCGGCAGCTTGATTTTTATTTGGTTTTGGTCTTTTTCGGGCCAAATCTCGTTGCTAGGGCAGGGACCGCAGGGTTCCTCCTTGGCTTTCCTCAGACCCCACTGCAGATTTCCATCCTGTCTGCCCCCCCCCCAGCTCGTCCCCTTCTGCGCCACTCTTGGGGTCCGTAGGCTGAGGCAGGGTTTGGCCTGGCGCGGAGCAGCGTCAGCATCCCCTCTGTGCCGGGGGGGCTGTGCGGTGGGACAGCAACTGGGGGGGACTGGCCCCTCCTGCCCCCCCCAAGTGATGCAAATCCTGCCCTGTTCCTTCCGCAGTGGGGGCTGCAACACAGTTCTCCCCTTGCACCCCAATACTGCTTCCTTAGGCTTTTGGGGGTGCACGTCCCCTGCACCCCCCCAGCTGCACGCGCAGCTCCCGCCCTGCAGTCTCACGCAGCACGGCTCCCCATCGCGGCTGCACCCCAATTGCCCCAGGGACCCCCCAGTGCAGCAAGGCCCCCATGCACTAAGATCCCCCATTACACCAGAGTCCCCCCATTGCACCAGGCTCCTCACACTGCAGCACCCCTCCATTGCTCCAGGGATCCCCATTGTCCCAGGCCCCCCCCCCATAACATCAGGCCCTCCCCATTGCACCTGGGGCCCCCATTGCCCCAGGCTCCCCCCAATGCAGTAGGACCCTCACTGCAGAAGGGTCCCTCATTGCCTCATGCCCCCCATTACCCCAGCCCCCCCCCCCCATTGTACCTGAGACTCCCATTGCTCCAAGCCCCCCCTATTGTACCTGGGACCCCCATTATCCCAGGCCCCCCCTATTGCATCTGGGACCCCTAATGCCCAAGACCCCCCCCCACTGCACCTGCAAACCTCATTGCACCATGCTCCCCAATGCAGTAGGACCCCCACTGCTCCAGCCCCCCCCACTGCCCCAGGTCCCCCCATTGCCCCAGCCCCCCCCCCCCACTACATCAGGCTCTCCCCATTGCACCTGGGACCCCCATTGCCCCCGGCCCCCCATTGCCCCAGGCCCCCCCATCGCACCTGGGAACCTCATTGCACCATGCTCCCCAATGCAGTAGGACCCCCACTGCTCCAGCCCCCCCCATTGCCCCAGGTCCCCCCATTGCCCCAGGCCCCCCCCACTACATCAGGCTCTCCCCATTGTACCTGAGACTCCCATTGCTCCAAGCCCCCCCTATTGTACCTGGGACCCCCATTATCCCAGGCCCCCCCTATTGCATCTGGGACCCCTAATGCCCAAGACCCCCCCCCCCCCATTGCACCTGGGAACCTCATTGCACCATGCTCCCCAATGCAGTAGGACCCTCACTGCTCCAGCCCCCCCATTGCTCCAGCCCCCCCCATTGCCCCAGCCCCCCCCCCCCACTACATCAAGGTCCCCCCATTGCCCCCACACCCCCTCACCCACCGCTCCCGGGGCCCGGTACCCGCTGGGGGCGGGATGGGGATATCGGGGTGATGGGGGGGGGGGGTGTGGGGGTGTGCGTGTGTCACCGCGCGGAGAGGCGCGCAGCGAGCGCGGCCCCGCGGTGCCGGAGCGCGCCGCCCCCGCCCCCGCCCCGCCGCGCCCGGGGAGGGGGGGGGGGTTGGGGGGGGGGGGGGGGGAGGCGGCGGCGGCGCCGCGCTGACGGGCTCGGTGGGCACCGCGGGGCCGCGATGCTGCGGGCCGCGGCGGAGCGGGGCTGAGCGGCGCGGAGGGGGGGGGGGGGGGCGGGCAGGGGAGGGTGGGGGGGGGTGGGGGGGGCGCGCCGCGGCGGCGGAGGGTGGAGGGTGGAGGGGAGGGGAGGGGAGGCGGGGGGGGGGGGCGCGGCGAGCGATGGATGAGGACAACATGACGAGGAGCGAGGAGCAGCAGCTGAGTCTGCAGAAGGCGCTGCAGCAGTGCGAGCTGGTCCAGAACATGATCGACATCAGCATCTCCAACCTGGAGGGGCTCCGCACCAAGTGCGCCGCCTCCAACGACCTCACGCAGAAGGAGATCCGCACCCTGGAGGTAGGGGCCTGCCGACCCCCCCCCTCCCCCCCCAACCTCCACCCCCCCCCCCCCATGGCCAATCCCCCCCCCCCCCCCCGGGCCGCGCCGGGTTCCCCCGCGGCGCTGCGGTGCGCCCGAGTGAGGCTGCGCGCTCTGCAGGTGGCCCCGAGGTGGGTTCGGCCCCCCCAAACCCTCCTACCCGTGCTGCCCGGAGGGGCCCGGATCCCCCCCCGCTCTCGTCCCCCCCACCCTCCCGACCCGGCCCCGGCCCTACAGCATCCTCCCGGCCCGGCCGTAGCCCTCCGCAGGCTGCAGCCCCCCGGCCCACCTGCAGCCCCTCCCTGCCCTCCGGCCGGGCTGCATCCCCTTCGGCCCGGCCACATCCCTTCCGTGGGCTCCTACCTCCACATCACGCTGCATCCCCCCCCCCGGCCCAGTTGCATCCCCCCCGGACTGGCTGCGTCCCTCCCACGGAGCTGCATCCCTCAGGCCTGGCTGCATCCCCTCCACGGGCCCCTACCTCCCCATCCAGGCAGCATCCCCTCCAGCCCACCTGCATCCCTCCCACCAGCCTGCAGCTCCCCGGCCCGGCTGCAATCCTTCCCCCCGTACTCCTACCTCCTGAGCAGGCTGCATCCCCTCGGCCGAGCTCCAGCCCCTCACCGGGAGGCAGGCCAGCATCCTCCTCATCCCCGATTCCTCCACCGCGGCAATGCAGCGCCTGCCCAAACCCCCCAGCCTTGCCTGGCAGGGGGGAGAGCCCCGGCGGGAAGGGGAGGATTTGCCAAGCCACGGCCTCGATACTGCCGGGGGAGAAGGCAGGCAGGCCATGCCGAGGGGAGCACTGGCTGGATTTCTTGATGTTTCATAGATGGGAAAAATACATATAAGTAAAAGTTGCTGAGCAGGGCCATGTCTGTTGTAGCCCCATAGGAAGAGGTTCCCCTTGGGGTTTGCTGGCACCTGGATGGGGATGGATTTGGGGTTCAAGAGGAGGTTGGCAGGCTGGGATGCCCCAGGGTGGGCAGGGCCCCACAGCTGGTGGCAGAGCAGGGAGAAGCGTGGCTGTCACAGTGCCGTGACCCCAGGGAGATGCCAGCGGGGCCGTGGAGGTGGCTGACGCGGGGCTGGGACTGCGGGTGGGGGGGATTTTGGAGCCCTGCCCTGCTCAGGTTTTTTGGCCGGTGCTTCCTAACCTGGCCCTTCTCACCAAGAGCCCAAATGTGGTGGCACAGCGGTTCCTGTGCTCGGCAGCACAGGTGACCCTGCCAGGGTCCCACAGTCCCTTGGCTTTCAGCTCTGGACCATGACCGAAATGCCCCCCGCTGCTGATTTTGCCCCCCAAGGTCCCAAGTGCCGTGGGAGCGAGTGGAGCATCGCTGTGCCACTGCTGTGCCGCTCGCGGGGGGGGGACCCTGGGGTTGGGGTGCAGCACCCCACTCTGCATCCCAGGCGTCGACTTGCACCAAATTCCCACACCGATCCCGCCGTTGCCTCTCCTTGCTCCGAGCCTTGTCCCATCCCACCTCTCTGCGTGAGGGGCTTGAGGCTCAGCCTGGAGCTGTTGGTCCATGTGTGGCCCCGGAGCAACCTCAGAAGAGGGACAGGGAGGTGGGGATGAAACAGCAGCGGTTCTGGGGTGTGTGGGAGACTTTGCGGGGGGCAGGCAGGCTCCAAGGCCCTCCAGGAGAGCCAATGCCTACAGAAGTTTATCCCACGTGGAGTGACGGCCTTGTTAGGGTTGGCATGGCTGATGAGTTACCACTTCTCCCCTGGTAGGACTGAGGGGAGCCGGGGAGCGTGGTGAAGCGATCCTGGTGGGACGCTCCTTCCTGGCATCCCGTGACGGCGTGTGGGCAAAGCAGCATCCTGGTGTCACTGGGGCAGCTCAGCCCGGGCCAGCTGGAGGGTTCGGAGGTGGCTGGGGGGATGCCGCCCCGCAAATCCCTTGTGCTCGCAGGGAAGCGTCTCTCCAACCCCTGTGGATCGTGCTGAGCCCGACGCGGGGAGCCCCGGCATCGCCTTCCCCAAACCACCCCCAAAACCGGGGTGCCCGCCACGTGTGTCAGCCAGGGGCATCCCTGCTGACGCTCACTCGTTGCTTTTCAGCACAGAAATGGGGCGATTCCCGGGGGGGGGGGTGGAGTGACAACGGATGAACCGGGGCCAGACTCCCGATGCCGGCACATCGCCGTAGGTCTGGACCGGCTCCTGGTGGGGTTGTCCTGGGTTGCCGCCAGCGTAAGCGGGAGCCGAGCTTGGCCCTGAGTCCCTGCCGCCACCGCCGTGTCCCAAGGACGTGACGCAGATGCAGAGGCCCCGCTCGGTGCTTCTTCCCTTCCCATCTGGCAGCAGCAGAGCCGGGCCAGGCACCGCCGAGGCGAAGGGGACAGTGGCCAGGGACGGGTGGGCTGGGAGGGCACCTCACCCCAAGCACCCTCAGGGAGACTTTGCATGGCCCTTGCATCAGTGTGAGCCTGGAATAAAATGGGTGAATCCATCTTTTTTGGTTAATCCTCATATGCTAAACCCTGCTTTTACTGGATTAATAGAAGTTTATCCATTTATTTTTTTTTTTTTTTTTAAACCACCTCAAGGTACACGCGAGTCCCCATTCTTTGTGAGATGCAGCATCCTTCCTCGGGGATGGGTACCACCAGCTACAGCCCGGCTTCGGTGGCAGCCCCTGGGGCTGGGAGCCCTTTAGGGCTCCCTTGCACCTCGGGACAAGCTCCAGTGGAAATCAAAGCAGTGGCTGGGACTGAAATGCCGACCGACGTTGCCCAGGGTGGGAGTCGGGGCCACTTTGCTTCCTACGGGACGGCAGCAGATCTGGGGCTGCGTATTGTCAGAGCAGGAGGGCGGGAGCCGAGCAGCCGCCCCCGTTAGCCCTGCCTGGTCCTGCGTGGGTGGTGGGGCTTTATTCCCCGTCTGAGCATGGCAGTCGGGCTTTGCATCTCTAAATTTGGGTTTTGGGGCACAAATACGGAAGAGGTGTGCCGCTACCTGCCTGTTTGCCGGAGATCTGGGGGCAACATGGGGTAAAAGTGAAAAGGAAAAGTTGCTCGGCGCTGGGTGGTTTTTCCAGCTGTCCTGTGGTGCCTCGCTCTCTGTGCTGGGGTTACACCACCCGGTTTCAAAGCGTGGGTCAGGGCTCCCAGAAACCGGCGAGTGGCTCCAAAGATAACCCCGGGATCGGCGGTTCCTTCTCCCTGGGCTGCTGTGTTCCTGCCGGGAAGGGGAAACCCTCCTGGGATCCTTTTAGGTGTTATACAAACAGGGTGAGGGTGGGAAGAGGCACCTGGGGAAGAGCTGTGGCCGTTTCCAAACTTCCACGGGCCGTGGTCAAAGGAGGTGCTGCCCCAACACTGGGATATTCACTGACTGAGCGTGTGGATTCTCTAGTGTCTAATACCATGGGCGAGCACAGCGCTTATGCCTGGGCTGTATCCTCCCGGTGAGCCAGGCATCTCCAGGATGCTGGGCTGAGCCATTTTGGCCCCTGTACTCCCAGGGAGAGCACCAGGGACCATTTAGCAGCACTGAAAATAGATGATGTGCAGAGCCAGAGATGGCATGCCAGCCCAGCAGGGCCTTGAAAGAGCCCTGAGAGGGGAAAATATAACCGTGGCGAGGTATTCCCCTGCTCGAGGGTGCTCCAGGTGTCTCTGGAATAACGAGCCCCAGGGTAGGTGTCGGGGATGAGTCTCTCCGGTTGTGGCTACGTGCCGTGGGAGAGCAGCCGCTGCGGCCTGCCGCTGTGCCGGGGATATTCAGAGACGAGGAGCATCCTCTCCCCTTCACGGCACGACGGCACCCGGCAGAGCCATGTGCCAAGCGGCACGGGCATCCCGGCAGGCCGGGCTCCCTCGTGACGGCTCACCGGGCGCCGGCGTTGGCAGCGGCGTGGCCTGCCTGTGCGAGGTTAATTAACTTTCCCCTCGTGCTCCCGCAGGTGGATTTTCCGCCGCCTCTCCCCGGTCTCCAGGCAGGGCTCGGTGCCGTCTCCAGCCCGGCTGACGTCAGGGCGGGCGCAGGGTGCTGTGCCGGGGGGGGGGTGCAGCCGCCCTCCCGCTCCTTGGAGACCGGCTGCTTCGCGCCCGGTGCCTGCTCGGGGGGAGCAGCCGCTCACCGCCGGGCCGGGTTTTGGGGGGAGCGCCTGCCAAGGGGAAATCCTGCTCGGGGTGACGGGAGGAGGCTGGAAATCCCCGGTGGGGTGCGGAGGGGAGAGAAGGGAGCTGGGTTTGCAGGGGGGGAGGAGGGGGCTCCAGCCTTGGGTGACCCCAGCCCCTTGCCTCGCTGGGGTCACCCCAAGGTCCCAGGGGAGTGATGCGGAGCGGGGACATCCCTCCTTTGCCTGCACCCATCGCTGCGGGGCAGCAGGGACCTGTCGGGGTCTTGTTTTCCAGAGGAGGGTCCTTGCCTCGGGGAGGAGGCGAGGGGGACCCAGGAGCCACCAGACCCTCACTGTGGCCAAAGGGAAGGGGCTGCTCGTGTCTTTACCCCTCTTTGTCAGAGCATCGCACCCTCCCTTACCCCCTCACGGTGCTGGAGGGGGGAGAAGCACTTGAAAGAGTGTGAAAACCAACCCCCAGCTTCAGAGGAAGGTGTATGGGCCCCCTCGTAGCCCTGGTTCCCCCGGCAGCAGCCCCGGTTGGACCAGCAGCGTATCCCCCAAACATCGAGCACCCTCCGCGCTGCCAGGACTCCGACCGCTCTGCTTGTACACCCACAGCCACAGCACCCCAGGGTGTCCCCCACCCTTTTCCAGAGGGGTAAACTGAGGCACCGAAGAGCTGAGAGGGGTTTGTGCCACAGCAGGAACGCAAAGCAGGATCTGGCCCTTGCAGCGGAGCAGCGTTTACCACGTTTGCAAAATCTTCATCCCGTGCAGGGAGGGCTGAGCAGCGGCTCAGGGTGAGCGACAGCATCCCCGCAGCCGCGGGACGGGGCTTTCCCCGCGACACGGGGCTGTCTCAGTCGCTTCCCTTTCAAGCCCCTTTGGTGAAGCTCTCAGCAAAACGAGAGGTGCTTTTGGATTTCACAGAGGTTTGCTGGGCTTGTTTTCCCCCACGGGCCAGAGCATCAGCCCACGCCCAGGGTGCTGGCTTCCTATCTGGGGTCTTGATGGCCCCTCTGATCTCTCAAGGGCTGGGCAGAGCAAATTTCCCCTACCTGGAGCCTGGAAATTAAAGTACCTCTCTCCACTTCCCTGATCCTTGCCCTGTTCCCAACTCCCACTACATCTCTGCATGGTGGTGGTGGGGGCTGCCCAGTCCCCGGCTCCATCTCCATTCCAGGACCCTGATTTTAGCACTGGAGAGGCTGTTGTGGTTCTGGCATCCCCTTTGGTCCCCCCTGGGCTCTCAGCCTGGGGGCGGGCAGAGGAAAGGATGAGGAGCAGGCTGGTGGGGATGGAGGTGAGTTTTTAGGAGGGTTTTTGCTGGTCTTTTGCCACAGCTGTGTGTCAGGAGTTTTTTTTTTCTTTGGGAGGGGGGGGGCGGAGAAGGAGCTGCCTCTATGTTTATTCAAGGTGCCTGCCGCTATTTCCACTATAAGGTCCTGGGGTGCGTTTAGGATGGGTGATTGGGGCTGACCCCAAAACCCTTCGCTTGTTTACGTTAGGAGAGTGGTTTCTCTCAAAAAGCAGACCTGGTAGCTGGGCAGGGTGCTGCTGAATCTAGCCAGCCCCGTGGGACTCCTGCAGCCTCCCCAGCCATTTGCTTTGCTGTCCCCAGCTCTCTTCTGGGTATTAATTTTCAGTAATTAATCTCTGTGGCTGTTAGCCAGGTCAGGGCTCTGGAGAAGCTGCCTGGTTGGGGTGTCTGGCTCCTGGCAGAGCTGTCACCCACCCAGGTGATGCTGGTGGGACATCGCAGTGGGGACTCGTTGTTTGCAAGGAGATGGGGACCACCAGCCTCTCCCGTGCCTGTGCTGCCTGTTCCCCTCCCAGGCAGCGAGGAGGGGGCTGGTTTTGCCTGTTTTGCACCTTGTTGGGCTCACCCACCTCTCCCCAGCCACGATGGGTGGGTGCAGGGGGGGGGGCCGATTTTTCCCCCTCTGCTCACACGCATCACATCACGCCAAACCCCGTGACCATCACCGCCGGGTACCACCGAGAAAAGGGACCGGCAGAGGTGGGAAAGCTCTCCCAAACTCCACAGTGCTGTGATGGGGTTTCTCCCCTCGCTTCTCTATTCCAAACCATCGCATATTTTGCTCTTCTATTTTTGGGGTGCGCAGGAGCTGGTGGCGGGCAGGGGCACAGCACCATCTAGTGCTGCCGGCGGTGGGGAATCACCCAGCTGGAAAAGCAGGAGCAGGAAATCCCAGCAGGTTTCCAGCGAGCCGGGCTCTGTTCTATATTCCTGAGAAAGGAGGCCAGTCACTCAGCGCCTTTATTTTGGGAGCTGTCAGGCTGCGGTTGCTAACGCGGCGTCTTTGGCCTCGCGGTGGGAGGGCTTGGGGGGGACGGTTGGCGGAGGGATGGGGCCACAGCCGAGCAAAGAGGGGTCGATGGCTCCACTCGTGGCGATGAGGGGTGGTGGGAGGAAGGAGGGCTGGGGCAGAGGTGGGCTGGTGGTGCGGGAATAAGGAGCGAATGCCCACGTCCCAGCCTTGGCGCTGTGTGATGCTGTGGCTGCTCCCAGTGGGGGATGCTCAGGGGGTCCCTGTGAACCCGAGCCTGGGTATAAGAGGGGAGCGTGTCCTTTGGGTGCTGGGCACTTCTGGGGGGGGTGGTATCTGTGTTAGTGTGTGCGAGAAGCAATGCCTCTGTGTCCCCTGCCCTCTCTCCCCATCCACCCACCGTAGGGTCCCCGGGGTGGTGGGGGGCTGTCCATCCCCTGAGCAAGACCCCAGCGCTGAAGCCTACTGGGCTGGGGATGAAGGAGCTGAGAAAGGGATTTTTTAGGAGGGAAATGCCCCCTTTGGACACGCAGCTGGATGCCAAAGGGGTCCTTGGCTGCAGAAGCTTGGCCACAGGTGGTGTTTGGAGGGCAGGAGGGGCTGTGTGTGCCCTGGGGATTGGGCAGAGGGAAGACAGAGCCCAAACTGCCTGTGGTCACCCCCTCCTGCGTCCCCCTCCTGCCGTGGGGTGGAATGGGGGGTCATGGCAGGGGGTCCCATGGGGTTTTCGCCTTCTCTTCCAGAGCAAGCTGGTCAAGTACTTCAGCCGGCAGCTGTCCTGCAAGAGGAAGGTGGCCTTGCAGGAGCGCAATGCCAAGCTGGAGGGCTTCCCCCAGCTCCTGCACTGGTTCCGCATCGTCGACATCCGCAAGGAGGTGATGGAGGTACGGGCTGGCATCAACTGCACCGGAGCGGGAAGGGTCCCACTGTGGGTTTGGGTGCTGAACCTCCCCAGCAATGCTTTTCCTGGGGGGTTGTGGGATCCTTGAGCAAAACTGGGCAAGGGGGGCAGTTTTTTTCCGAGATGGGGGTTGGCTTGAAGCCGTGTGTTTGGGCCCTGGGGCAGGCTGGAGGGGACAGTGCTGGCGGTGGGGACCAGAGCAGAGGGACTAGGTTGTTTTACTGCATGGAAAGGTGCTGCAAGGCCGTGGTGGGACATGCTGGCCAGAGCCACCCCGCAGCTCTCCTCCACCCACCAGTGAAGACACCCCATTGCTCTTCCCACTGACGGACATGAGTGCCGGGGAGACTTCATGGGTGCTGCCCCCCGCCAAGAGGGGGTCCCCCCTGTCCCCATCACAGCATTGTGGTACCATGGCAGGTCACAGCATCCTTCTGCCACGTCTTGGGCTCCTGCAGGTGATGGGTGCAGTGAGGGGGGTGCTCGCTTAACAGCCCTCCTGGGGAAAAGGAAAGTCTGTGCTGAAGCTGCCAGTCCCTGTGTGTGCTTAGGGCAGGGACAGGTTTTTCTGGTGTGCCCCCAGATGTCCCAGTGTTGAGCTGGGTCTGGATATACTTGAGACTGCAAAAAACCTTGAGATATAGCTGAGGCTCAAGCTGTGCCCTCTGGGTTTTCACGTGGGTTGAGATGGAAAATGAGTGGCTTTCGGGTCTGTGACACAAACAGGGCATCTGTGTGCCCTGAGGTGCTGGTTAGAGGATGCTCCGGGATGGTTTATTCCTCCTGTCTCACTCCTGTCCTGTTCCTTCCCCATCAGGAAATCGCCCCCGGGCAGCTGAGCCTGGAGGAGCTGCTGGACATGACCGATGACCAGGTCTGTGCGACCGTGGAGAAGTTTGGGGCCAACAGCGAGGAGTGTGCCCGCCTGAACGCCTCCCTCTCCTGCCTCCGCAGCGTCCACAAGTCCGGTGAGTCAGGCACCCTTCTACCCTCTGGCCAGGCCCCCCTTGAGCCGGTCGGGCTGAACGGCACCGTCCCGTTGCGGTGACACCAGGAGCGTGGCTTTAATGTGTCAGTGGCGTTTGAAGGGTCTTCTCAGTGGGTTCAGAGCTCCGGCATCCCTGGGGGATGGTTGAGCACCCACTGCCCGCAGGGGACATCTCTGCGCTGGCGTGTCCCTGCGGCTCGGGAGCGCACGGCACGGGGTGGGGGGGGGGGGTGGGGGCTCACCTCTCTAGGAAGTGATGAGTTGTCGGTTCTCTGCAGGGAGGCTTCGCCCGAGGAGGGCACAGCGTTTCTTACGGCATCCCTCCGACCCCTCTTGCGTGCAGGAGCACAGAGAGCAGACTCAGGAAAAAGCCCCTGAGTCTCAGCAAGCTCCTACCGCTCAGCATCTCTTCTCTCGGCTGGCTGCAGAGCCAAGCCCCCGTGCCCAAAGCCCCTTCCCAGGGCATGCACAAGCCCTGCTTCCCCTTCCCCTGGGTGTGGGGGTATGGGTGCTGGTGCTGGGGTGCGGGTGCTGAGCTGGCGGGTCCCCGGGCGGTGGCAGCATTGCTCCGCGCTGCAGAGGCCGGCTGCACGGAGCAAGAGCCGCTCTGGCTTCATCTGCGCTTGGCAGCCTGCGAGGGGAGCGGGGCCGGGGGCTGCAGCCGTGCGTGGGTTTGCGTGGGGAAGGGGGCGAGCGATGCAGCGGGTGGCTGTGCGGGATCCGGCTCTCCTGGCACCTTGTCCCAGGTCAGCAGAGCCTTGGGTGCTGGGGCCGAGGGCTCCCTTCCCCCGGGGCTGCTGGCGACAGGGCCTGGCCTAGGGGCGAGGAGGGGGGCTCTTTTCTACACATGTGCCCCCCAAGGAGCGGCCCAGCCTCACCTCCCCACGCGCAACAGGGACCGTATCCTGCCGGCATGGCCCTTCCCCACTGCTGAACCGGTGCTTTGGTGCCTGCTCGGGGGAGCACTGCCAGCACAGGGGCTGCCTCGGGGAGGGGATGTTCCCTTTTGGAGCAGCTGAGGGAAACGGTGAAACCCCATTTTACAGTCTAAACCCCGCGCTGTCCCTTTCCCAAGGGCTCCCTCCTGCTCCCATCCTGGGGTGACGGCAGTGGGCTGGTTTAGTTGTGATCCCCGCTGGGAGCTCTGGCCTGGCAGCGTGTGTGGCCTTGACCTTTAGGAGGACCCCAGTCCTGCCAGACCCGTGGGGTTTGGGGACCCCAGACCCCTCTGCCTGGCTCCCGTCCCCTCTTGAAGGGCTTCTCCAGCACAGCTGCATCCCAAGGGCTGGAGGATGAGCCCTGCTGGGTTTTTGGCTGGGCTTTGCAGGTTCAGAGCAGCCCCTGGGGACAGGAGGGGGACCGGGCTGTTGGTGAGGAGGGTGCTGTGACATGGTTTCCCCAAGAAGCGGCTTTCAGGGACCGGCAGTGTCCCTGCATTACCACCGCTTGGCATGACATGTCCCAGGCTGGGGGGTCCCAACCCCCTGCCCTGGAGGGGTCTTGGCCACCTCCACCCACCGTGGGTCCTGTGGTTTCTCTGGGCTTCCCACGTGGCGTGGCACAGTGTGGCAGGGCCAGCCCGTGGGGGGACGGCAGCACAGGGCCCCCACCACCGCATGCTGCCACCCCTGTGCAGGAGCAGCAGTGGGGTGGGGACGGCTGAACCCAGCCTGACATTTCCTGCAGAGCACGAGTCCCCTGCGCTCTTTAACTCCCTAAATCCGGCTCCTGCCTGTGCTCCTGCCCTCCTTCCCTTTGGCATTTTCGCTAAGTCTCTCCGCTATTTGAGGAAGGGCATCAATGCCTCCCTTGGAGCCTAGGGAAGGCTCTCAGCCTGCTCTTTGTTTAAACACCTTTGACTTTTAAACACCGTTGCAAACAAATACTGTTTTGCTCACTGCACTGGCTCAGCCCAGCCCCTGCGTTCCCCTTCCTGCCCCTCTGCTCCCTCGGCCAAGGGAATTCCCCTGCGCCCTGATGGGACCTGTGTTTTGGAAAATCCGCACGAACTTTGGCTCAGCAGCTGCGGTGAAGATGCTCAAACATCTTCTGCCCCTCCGGTGGTTTCTGATGGGCAGAGATGGGGGGGTACTGGGAGTCTGCAGGTTGCTTGCTGCTCGATTTGCTTTTTAATGGGGCAGGTGATGGGGCTGCCAGCCCTCCCAGCGGGACGTAGCTTGGTGGCCCATTGGGTCCCCGCAGGGGGGAGTTCGCTGCTATCCAGGCACGGCGCGTCTTTGCCTTCCCCAGCGCTCCATTTAACTCCATCCATCATCGCGCCGCTCCCGGGGGGGGGGGGGGGGGGGGCGCTGCGGGCTGGGCTGCGCGGCGGGGGCTGCTGTTTCATCCCTCCGGCATTGCAGAGATGCTGCAGTGGCCGTTCCTGCTCCGCCGGGGCCGGAGGCTCGGGCTCTGCAGTGCAATGGTCCCCGGCACCACGAGTGCACGCTGGCGGAGAAACCCCTGGGCACGTTGTCGGGTGGATGGCACAAGCCTTGGGGACAGGGAGGGGACAGGCAGCCTGGGGCACTGCAGAGCCCCTGCCAGCCCCGAGGGATGCAGGAGCTCCCCAGGCAGCGGAGGAGACCAAATCTCCCTGAATTTCTATCGGATTTGGATGCAGAAAGCTGCACCCAGCTTGGCAGATGGTCTCCTTGTGTCTCGCTCAGGACAGCTGCATGTCCCCTGACTCTGCGCTGGTGTTTTCCTGCCTGGCAGAGACTTTGCCTGGTCAAATGGCCCTGTCTCAGCACTTCCCCTGCTTTTTGCCCACTGGGAGAGGGGGAGCACAGCCCCTGCCCCTCTTCTGTTGCTGAGGAGATGAGAGCGGTGGTACCTCTGGCCAGATCAGGGTGAGATGCTCGCTAGCTGCCCCAGGCTGAGGTCAGGTGGTAGGAGCAGATCATCCCATCCAGCTGCTCAAGGTCAGGTCCGAGATGCCCCAGGGTCCAGGCAGCACGTTTCGGTGGGCTGCAGGGACGGGCAGAGCAGCGCTTCTGGTACGTTGGCAATGTCCCCCTGTGCTGCGGGGGGCAGCTGGCACCATGCAGCAATGGGGCTGTAGCTCTCACATCTGGGGTGCACTAAGGCAATGCTGTGCTGCTTCCATCCATCCATCCACCCATCCACCCATCCATCCACCCATCCATCCACCCACCCACCCATCCACCCACCCATCCATCCATCCATCCATCCATCCATCCATCCATCCATCCATCCATCCATCCATCCATCCATCCATCCATCCATCCATCCCTCCATCCTTCCCTCTCTCAGCTGCATTTCAGCAGATGCTGACCTGCTGGCTGGCTCCACGTCTCAGTGTCTGGCCACCAGCCTTGCCCTGTCTTCAAGCTTGGGCAGGGAAGGTCTACGCTGGCTTTGAGAGCTGGCCCGGCTCACTTCGAGCCCGGCAAGTGTACATCCCCTCAGTCTCCCCTTGTCCCCTGGGGCTCCATCTGATGCACCACCAACCCTCTGTCAAGGATTCTCGAAATTACCTGCTAGATGTGTTGCCCTGATCCTTGCAGCTCCCAGGGAGATCTGTGTTACACCCAGCTGGACCCCCCCAGCCAGGTACCCGGGAGGTTTGCATGGCCCCGAGGAGCCGGCTGGGTGCTGAATGGGAAGGTGCTGGGAAGGGGGTGGGTGTTGGGAAACATCCCAGAATGGCAGCGATGCTCTCTCAGGATGCAGTGCTGAGAACTCCGGTCCGTTGGGTTATTGTAGCCCCTCCAGAAGGAACCCCAGATGTACCATGCTGTGATGGACGTGTTTTTTTCATCTACATTTTATCCTCTTGTAAATCAAGAGATGGTCCTAGTCTGGAAATATAATTAATGAACAAGTTGCTGCCTCTTTAAGACATCATGTAATTTCTTTGCAAATGCAGTAGTGGTCGATTTCTAGAAGCCAAGATTAGTATTAATAAAGCAGGAATGAGGTACAGTATTAACCTTTTCCATCAATCTTTATTTATTGAGTTGTTAATTAGAGACATCTAATTTCCCAGGCCAATTCTGCCTGGGCGTGGGGGCTGAGGAGGAGGCGGGGCGGAAGAAGGATGCTATTTCATCGCTTAAATGGCGATGAATTTTGCCAGGACGGGATTTGACGGCGGGGAAGGAGCCCCTTCCCAAATCAAGCATCCTGGGGGCAGCTCCAGGGGCAGGGAAAGCCCTGGAGCATCTTAGAAACTAAAAGCATGTTATATTTATCAAATATAGCGGCAACCCTATATTAAGCACCTGCTTTATTGTGTTAACAAGTCTGTATCGGATTTTTCTCGGCTGCGAAACCTTATACTTGGCAGCAGTATTTTATTAGCAGCCAGGGCGTCAGTTTTGAACTCAAAGCGGGATTAATTTAATATTAAGTAAGAGCTGAGCGGGGCCGCTGTGGATTGAGGAGTTGATGGTGTGTGACTAGTGAGTTATGCATGGAGGTTATTAACTGTCCTACGGGGAAAAATGATCCGGAGCTGAATATTTATGAGTCGTCCTGGCCCTGGGAGGGCTGCGGGTGGCTTGGGGACAGTGCAGGGTCGGGCAGGGCGATGAGCAACAACAGGAAAAAAACAGTGAGCGTCCTCATTTGGGGAAAATTTGACAGCTGTGCTGGCTGTAAAGGTTTGCAGAGTCGGTCCCTCCGGTGTCCCCGTGCCCGCAGAGCCATCCCCCTGGCGCGGCGGGGCTGAAGGGCTGGGTGATGCCGGGGTTTATTTCGCCCCACGGCAAGGGTGCGATCGCTGGGATGCGGCTGCCGGGAGAGGCGGCTGCAGCCGTGGGGGTTCCCCTCGCTCTAAAGCAAGCCGAGACCTTGCTGTGGTTTTGGGCACGTCTCCACGGGGTGATCTGAGTGCTGCCTTTGGGGAAGGAAAGCGAGTGGTCACAGCATCCCCCAAGGAGCAGTCGGGGTGCGGGGCTGCTTCGGGTATGACTCCTCCTTTGGATGGGGCCCGCTGCCCCCAGCTCCCGAAGCAAATCATTCCCAGCATTTTGTTTGGGGAAATCAAAGCAAAACTTGCTATTTGTCTTTTGGAACAGGGGGAAAACAGCTTTTCTGGTGACATTTTGCCATCTCTCTGCATTTCTTGATCTACGAGCTGCATCCCGGCAGCAGGTGCTCCTCTCTGCCTCCTCCCAGGAGTTTGTTTTCTTGTTGATTTTAATGAAGTGGTTCAGAAAAAGCTTCTTCCCTAATTAAGTATGGTGGAATGAAGGAGGCTGGACTAAGTGGGGAGGCAGCAACAGCACCGAGGGGATTAATAAAGCCAAATTTGGCCAAGGGGAGCATCTCTCCCTTTGCGCTGGTGACCAGGGCTCGGTGGCCTGTGGGGTCGGAGGGCTGGTGGGCAGCTGTAGCTGATGCTTATTTCATTATACAATTAATATTCCCTATCTAAAGAAAACAAATAGGCTTTTATGAGCGAACAGGCACCCTTGCAGCACTGTCGAGGCAGGCAGAGCCTGGGGGAAAACTGGGCAAAGGGGAGTTTGCTTCTGTACAAGCTCTTCCCTTGCTTTTCCGCCTGGGAATCGGCTCTGGCAGAGCAGCAACGCCCGGGGGAGCCCTGGGAGGGAGTGAAATCCGAAAGCGTTTAACACGCTTTGCAGAAAGAAGAGCTTGGGGGTTTTTTGTTGCTTTTTTTTTTTTTTTTTTTCCTTTCAAGTGCATTTTCAGTTTAAGCATATCTCATCAAGTGGAGTGCCCGCTACCTGCAGCGTGCCTGTAAGCTGTGTGTTGAAAATACATTTCTCCAGCTTATCCGGGGTATTTTTAGCCCTGACGCACCCACCAGCCCCATAACAGGTTATTTTTGCTCTCGAGTGCATCAGTCGTGTTACGACACAGCCGAGCGTCGAAGGGGGTGGCAGCGAGGGGGGGACGCGGTGGCCACGATGCCACGGCCGAGCTTTGGGTTGCGGGAAGCAGCCTTGGCTTTCCTTCTTCGTTAACTGCTGCTAATTACTGCTGGGGGTGGGAGCGCGGGGATGCTGCCGGGCCTGCAGCATCCGGGCAGTTTTGAGTTATGTAAATCTATGCATGCAGAGCAACCAATGGAGGAGCTGCTTGGTTTGCATACATGCATGCTGATTTGCAAATCCCTGGGTGGGGGTTGATTGACCGGAGGGGTCGATGGCTTGCGGGAGGATTTAATTCATGGCGTTGTGTCCTCCCCGACCTGTGCCCGTGCACGGCCACGGCTGCACCTTCCCCATTCCACCAGCCCGGGTGGCCTCGGGGACCGGTGGCCACCGGTGGCCCTTGGGGACAAGGAGACAGCCCGGCTGCCTGGCACGGGGTTGAGCACCCAGCTCTGCTGGCACCTGGGTGCGGGTGCCCGCGGGCAGGGTGGCCTGGCAGCAGGTGACACGACGCCGTGCAGAGCTGTGTTCTGGAGGGGTGTGACACGCTCCAACTCGTCCCCCGCCGTGTCCCCGCTTGGGCTGGGCTGTTTTGGCGAGGAGGGGGCTCCGCTGTGTGCCTGCGGTGGCTTTGGAGGTGCAGCTCCATCCTGGCGGCTCCATGCAGGCAGAGGCAGGGCTTTCCTTAAGCAGGATTTTTTTCCTTAATTAATTAAAATTTGAGGAAGGGCATTAACTTTTTAATGAGCTTCTTGCTGGGTCGAAACGTTTTTTGCAGCAGCTGGAGAGGAACTCTAAAAGCAGCTGGATAGGACTTGCTTTACTTTTTATTTTTATTTTCTGCTTTGGGAGAGCAATTCAAGAAAACTCCTTGTCTGCCTTTTCCCCCAGACCTTTTGTCAATCCAATCCTACAGCTTTCATTTCCAAAGCCCTTTCCTCCTTTACTTTTCCTCTGGAGCTTGAAATAAAATGTTTCCCTTGAAAAGGCTGGGGAGAGAAGCGGCCAGGCAATTAATAATCAAAAAGGGGATGGGGAAGGAAGCTTTTTAAAATAAAGAGATTATGGTTTTATGTTGGGTTTCATAGCGGAGGCGATCAAAAGGAGTCGGCACAGGGACCTTAAATTGGGTCCATCACTTTGGCTCTGTGAAGTTGCTGCCGACAGCCCTTTACTCATCTCTGCGCCAGTGGAGATGAATAATTAGAAGCAGAGAGGAGCCCCACTTAATTATAATCCCCCCTCGTTTATGCAAATGGCACAACTGGGTGGCACGGGGCGGGGGGGGGGGGTCGGGTTTGCAGGGGTGAGATGGGGGCATCAGCCTTGGCCAGGCAAGGGGCGTCCCATCCCCATGCCACACTTTGGGGTGGTGTTGGGAAGCTGTGGTGACAGTGGGGGACACGCGTGGGGGGGGGGGGTGGGGGGGTGGGGCTCAGCAGGTGGGGAAACGTGGGCAAAGCACCTCGCTAACCCTTGCAAAGCGCCTGCTTGGCGGCTTCGCACGTGCATAACGACGGAGAAACTTCTTGCTGGCGTTTCAGAGGCGGGGGGATGTAGTGTCAGCGGGGGGGGGGGGGGACACGACACACGCCCCCCTCTGCCCCGTGCGGTTTCTGCCACGCCGCATGGCCGTGTCTGTGTGCTCTGTCGCAGGCGGCAGCCTCTCCAAGCAGGATTGGACCATCCAGTGGCCCACGACGGAGCCGGGGAAGGAGAACAGCCCCGGGTGCCAGCCGGAGCCGGGGCAGTGGGGCAGGACGCACCTCTCGCAGAGCCCCAAGGTCCAACCCAAGTGCGGGCAGCATCACTGCCACGCGGGCTCGCCCCACGGACCCATGTACACCCACGTGGACAGGCTGACCGTGGAGGGTCACCCGGGGCTGTGCCCGCCCATGGAATCCGGCCACCGGTCCCTGCCGCCCTCCCCGCGCCAGCGGCACGCCGCTCACACCCCTCCGCGTACCCCCAACATCGTGACCATGATGACGCCGCCGGGCACGCCGCCGGTACGACGGAGGAATAAACTGAAGCCCCCCGGGACACCCCCGCCCTCGTCGCGAAAACTGATCCATCTCATCCCCGGCTTCACCGCGCTGCACCGGAGCAAATCCCACGAGTTCCAGCTGGGGCATCGCGTGGACGAGGCGCACACCCCCAAGTAAGTGGGTGCCCCGGGGTGCTGCTGGTGTGCGGTGGGGTGATGAACCCCATCCCGGCTCCTTTGGAAAACTGCTTTGGTCCCTAAATGTTGGGGTGTGGTGTCTTTTTTTTTTTTTTTTTTTTTTTTTGAACTTCGCAGCTCTAGCAGGCAATGGGGATGCTTCTGGAATGGCATCTGATTTGCTCCCCTGGGACCTCACTTTGGGAGCAGAGGGGGCGGATGGAGAGCGCTGAGGGGCTCCAGGGCTGGGTGAGATTTCACAGCTGAGGCACGGGGATGCACAATCTGGCCCTAAGAGCTGTGTGCGGGTGTGAGCACATGCGAGAGCGAGATGGGAAGAATCATCTTTCAGCTGAAACGTGCATCTATGGATAGATAAAGCCTTGTGGAAATAACACTATATTCGAGAGACCTCCCCAGCATCCTTTTCCCCCCCTGATGGTGCTTGCAGAGGGCTCTTCGGGCTCTGGCCATGCCACAGCTCCTTCCTGCTGCTCTTGCTCTGCAGCTCCGGTGCCGGCAGAGGCTGCTGATGTGCAGGGAAAGGGCTCGCAGGCACCAGCACGCTCCCTCTCCATCTCCTTCAGGCCTTTCTGGTGGCTGTGCTCAGAAAGCCCTTCTGTTGCCTCTGTGTGGGGTGGCAGAGGGGACCGGTGGCCACCTTGAGGCATCGTCTCCTCTCCCTGAGGATGTCGAGATGGAGCACGGCTGGTCCCTGCTAGCTTCTCCAAACAGGAACCCCTGGACAAGCTGCTCTGTTTGCCCACAAATGTAGGGTTCTTAGAAAAAAAAAAAAAAGGCCCGGGCAGAGTGCCCTGAGGAATGTGGTGGGAGCAGGGGAAAGCCCAGGGTACCCTGGCATGGCAGTGGCAGGCTGCCGGCAGACCCTCCTGTCCAGCCCCGGCGGCAGCCGTGATGCTGAGGCAGCTCTGGCTGAGGCATGTGAAGGGTTAAAATCTGCTGCCTGCACGGCGTGCTCCCGGCTGCCAGACCCTTGCCTCGCCCTCTCTGGGCAGCGGCAGAGCAGAGGGGGTTTGGGGGTGACAGATGTATCGGTGGCAGCAGCATCGCGGTGTCATTTGTTTCCCCGCTGCGGCAGCCGCCGGGCTGCGGTCGTTGTGCGGAACGAGGGCGGTCATCCTTCTCCCCTGGGCTGGGAGCTTCCAGTCTCTAACGGCTTTTAGCTTTTGGAAATGAATTTATTTCAGCTGGACAGTGCCTCCTGTAAGGCCACCCTCCCCTTTGTGCTTAGCCACCGGAAAGTTGTATTTACTTTGGTCCGTCCCCGGCGAGCATCACCGCGTTTGCAGGAGCAAAGCCTTAGCGAGCAGCCTGTCTCCTCTCGTACTTTTTTTTTTTTGCATTTGGGCAGCTGGTCCAGGCTTTACCCTTCGCCCACACAGCGGGTCTCACTGAGGGTGAAGCCTGCCTTTGGTTCTCCCAAGCCGTCTGATCCCCACTCTGGTCATTGCACACCCCAGGTCACCCTGACACGGATCTGGGGCGAGGTTTGGACCTGGAGGGTGTCTGGTCCTTACTCCAGCAAAGCCTTTGGCCAGTGATTCCCCAAGCCAGCTGGGGACGGGATGCCTTGACTTTCCTGCAAGGGGAAAGAGCAGCGCAGGGTGTGGAGAAGGAAATATTTAACAGGGTTTGCATGAACATGGTCATGTCCCCTCTTCCTTCATCGCTCTCTGCCTTCCTTCAGTCTTTGCCTGACCATGGCCAGTTTGCCCAGTGCCTCTGGTGCTCCCCTTCCCGATGGTTCTGGGCAACTTTAATTCATGGTTAGTGAATTAATAGGGGAAAGAGAGAGCCAATATTAACAGGGCTCCGTTGTGCATTGTGCTAACATCCTACTGGGGGTTCATCGTGTCAGTGCGGAAGGACCCAGGCTGCTGGAAGCCGCTCGGAGAACTGGGGAGGTTAATTTTCTCTAATGGCACTTAATGATTTTTCAGGAGGCAACCACTAAATCCTGCTTGCTAATCCCATTAGTGTTTCGGGATAGTAATTAGTGCATTAGCAGCTTCTTTTTTCCCTTTTTCTCTAGCAGAGGCATGCTGAAGTTTTAGCTGTTAATTAGCCTGGATGCGGTGGCTACTGCTTTGCCTGGCAGAGAGAAAATTTAGCTTTTTGGGGATTTTATCAGCTAATTTTTATTTTATGGTCGAGTCCATGCAATGAACGTGTGTTGGTGAGTTGGTTTGGTTTTTTTTTTTCCAATGTCATGACTTCTGCAGTGTCTGAGCTCTGCGCAGGAGGGAGGTTTCCTCCTGACCTCAAATATGCAATGGAGCTCATCCCTGAAATACAATTTCAAGCCTGCTCTGATCAGCCCCTTCTAGTTTTAGCTGTGCCAGTGGGCTCTTGGTTGCCTTCGAAATGTGGCTTTCTGTTCTCTGTACCGTGCCCCAGCATGGAAAGAGTTGCTAGACCTGGAGAGCTGATAGTATGGGGACACTGATAGGGACCCCAAGTGCTAGGTGGGATCTCCTGGGGCAATTTTGGGTCTAGATCTACCCCCATACTGCCTCTTTGCAGACCACTTTTTGGTGGGACCTATCCAAAACCCTCCCAAGAAGTAGGTTGGTGTTCCTCAGGCTGATTTATCTCCTCACCTGGCATGCCTCATCTCAGGATGGGGGTGAAATGGGCTCTGGTGAGCCAGGGTTGCCCTTGGCAAAAGCAAAAAGCTCTCTCCCCATGAGCTGTGGGTCAATATTGTTGGAGGGAAGCTGCTGGGGCACTGCAGGGCTGCCACCAAAGACTTTTCCATTTCATTGGAGGCACAGAAATAAAACACCACCATATATATGGGAGATCCAGAGGCAGCGACCAGGTCCTCTCTGGAGCAAGGCCACCATGTACTTGAAAACAGCTGATAAATTTGCTTACATTTTGTGTTTCAGGTATTACCTCTAGGGTTTAATCCATCGTTTTTGTATGCCAAGACCTTCTGGAGCAGGGGTTAAATTTTTTGAGCTTACAGCCTCAGATTTTCCTACACGGAGCCTCCAGCTGTTGACCATAACTCTGGGGTATGGAACATTACTCCTAAAAAGATCCCCTGGCTTCCATAAATCCACAATCCATAAACATCTCATGAATGGTCTTGAAACGGAAACAAAACATTTAGAGTAGTTGATAATATAATCCCCATTTAATACCTCATGAATTCCATGGGCCACTTAAATCTTTCATGGATAGTTAATGATTATTCATCAGCAAGAAGTCAGAAAAAAACCAAACTCTGAACGGAAGGTCTTAAAAATACATTAGTTGGGGAACACAAGTCAAGCTAGTTAAGAATAAGCTCAAGAGCGTGTGTTAACCCTTGGAAGGGTGTGTACAAAATAGCCCTTTGGAGGCAAGATCTGCCCTGGGGTGTCCTGCCCCGAAGCAGTGGTTGAGTGGTCTTCATCCCTAGACCCGTGTGAAGTGGAGGTGAGCTCAAAATCTCATCCGCTTTCCAGTTGTGGTTCCTTTTGCCACCCCAGTGTATGGTCAAAGTCATGAACTCCATGGCCTTCAAAGAATAGCCTCCGGCAAGCAGCTGGGGCGGGAGGATCGGAGCGTTTCAGTAGAGAATTAAAGCAGCGTGACCTGGCAGAGCTGAGCCCCGGAGGAAATGCTGAACTCTCCCGAGGGCTAACATGAAGCAGCTGCTGGAGAGGACATGGAGTTTCATGGTGTACCTAGGTCAGGTTTGGGATGAGAGGAGGCTCCTCCAGCTTGAGACAGCTTTATTTTGAGTAAGGTTTCAATGAAGTCTTCTTATCCTGTATCGTTGCCATTACATTCAAGGCGTGGATGGAGATAGGGTTAGGTATTCCAGTGGAAAAGTCTGTTTACCCAAAGCCTTCTGATGGTTGACTTCCTCGCCTTTAGCCTTGTTGGCACTGAGGTTGTTTTTTGGTGCTGGTTTTCAACATCAGGATGAGGATATCCTGGATGGATGAAGTCAGATGTGAAGTTCACATCTGATCTAGTGATAGAGCACGTATCTTTTTTTTTAAATTTCTCTTCTCCCTTGTATTATTTCCAACTCCAAAGCAACTCTAACTTGAAAATTTTTCTGTTGTGGGTGTTTATCTCACGTAACAGAGAAACCCCTGAGAAGAGGGTTTTTCCTATAGCACTTGGCCAAGTCTTGGGTAGGATCCTACTTGGGGCATCTAGGCAGAGAGGTGAAAGAGTGAGTCATAGGCTTGCAGAAACCCAGGACCAGAGGTCTTGTCCACCATCCCCATCACACTGAGCAGCCTGCAGGTTAGACTGTCCCTCAGAGTTAATCATCTATGCTGGTCTTAAATGCTTCTGAGTGATAGGTCATTTATTCTGCTGCTCTGCAACCTTGATAATGATGTTTTTCCCTTGTATCAATTCCAATCAGCGCTTCCACCAGGTAGATCAATTATTTGATATTCCGCGTGGGCTGGATTCGAAAGAGCAACATTGAGATAGCTCTTGTGCCTGGTGTCTCTCTGACATTTCCTAGGCTTGGAAAGGCAGGTGGGCTCTTGGCGTTGGGGATGAGCAAGAGATTGATGTTTGCAGAGCAGGTGGATGCAGCGGGACGCTACCAACATGTGCAAATAATCCGTATGCAGCATCTTCAGCGTTGTGTTATTCATCCTGTATCGTGTCCGAAAATGTAGAGATCTGCCTGGTACTTCTGCAAGGGGGAGAGCATTGAGGTGTGGGAATTTGGAGAGCAAAGGAAGCAGCATCTCCCTCTGCGCTTCCAAATAGTCTTTCTGATTAATTTCAGTGCTTTTGATGGTGAGTCAGGGCTGTAGAGTTTTGCACAGGTCCTGGATTGTCTCCAGCTCTCTCAAAGTATGGTCTGCACACCGTGTCTTGACAGTGATGGGTAGCCTCCGTAACAAACTGGCTCTCTGCTGCAATTATCCCACTGCTCTGGGCTGCGGTTCTCCTTAGGTATGTCATTAATGTTAATTACTGCTGTGGTATTCCATCAAAAGGAGCAGGAG